TATAGATATGACTTTGACCTACAAACATCATGAAGTTCTGTACGATCATGTTCGGGTCAAACCCGTCTACATATATGGTGATTGGCATCAATTCCTTCGTAAGCATAAGCTACAATGGGGTGAAAAGATATCTTTCAACATAGAACCATAAAATATACATGATGATACAACAGTGGTCCTGACAGTTCAGGTGATCAGGGAGTTCAGGTGATCAAGGACATTGAGATGGTGCAATAAGTTGAGGTCACGTATTGTCAACGATGCAAGACAAAAATATTATTTATGCATATAATTTTAATTCTTCTTGGTACTTGTAATCAAATAAAGCCATTATATTTATATGGACAAGAAAATTTTAAGATCTATCATTTCGTATCATGATTCTCGTTGTCACAAAGTCAACGAAAACCAATTGCTTATTAGATAGACAAATAGCCTTCTTAACTGTGATTTGTGAACACAAGGATGAACCATATACAAACTATAGAGGTTCATCATTTTCCAAAAGCAATAATTCGAAGAGAGAGACAGAACGGCAGCCAAGACAAACAAAGGTCACTCTATTATATTAGGGCTCAATGTTATTTATTGTAAATCAAAGATAGTTTAAAATGATTTGTCTGAGCAAATCTAAAACAATCACAAAAACAACTATATGAAACAATGATTTTCATTGAATTGTGCTGTCTACACGTATATCAACATCGCTCAAAGCCAATTGATGGAACAAAAAACAATTAATCAAACTAAGTAAGCCTCGCACTCAACTTTGTTATGAATAAGCAAGAGAAAAAGACAAAAGAAATTTCAAAATGAAAAGAACTAATTTAAGCTTTGCTATGGCTTTACATGTAATCAGAAAGAGCTATCACTAATCCTATCACTATCATGATCATTATCTTGGCTGATCTCATTGTTGAGCATTTTTCCACTTTAACGTGCCAAAAAAACGAAAAACACAAAGTGATCAATCAAAGATTGCCAAACCACAAAACTCTATAAAAGAAATGGAAAAAAAATTACAATAAAATTAAAACAAAAATGAATCCCTCCTCTCTAAATTGCAAAACCAAACAATTGACTTTCTTCCTGTAAACACAAAAAACTAAGAGAGAACAAACTCGGTAGGATAATATGGAGACTAAGATATAATAGGCTAATCTAAAAAATAAATTAACCAAAAATTATTACGTAGAAATATAATTATTGCCAATTTGTCACCAACTTAAAAAATAAAAAAAAAATCGTGATTACTAAATAGTTTAGGATTAGGAAACAATTCACCTAGTCACCTTCACTATAAAAACCACAACCATCGTCCAAATTATAGAAGCACTCACCTATTCTTCGACATTGCAAATTCAAGCACAATTTCAAGAAAACTCGGGTAGCAAATTTTAATAATAAATCCTTTGCTCAATTCAATAGTCAGCTTAATTTCTGTTGTTTGATAATTTTTAGAACTACGATTGAAGTAATCTATTTGCTAATAGTCAATCTTTATCAATTTATTTGTTTGATAATAGTCGGTACGTCAATCTATTTACTTGGTGATTGTTAATTATTCTTATTTTTCTTTGCATTATGAAAAAGAACGTAATAGTGAGTATCCCAATTCATTTGTTTCTAATAGTGTGTTTGGCAATCTGTTCTGTTTGTTAATATCTTTTCATTATAAAAAAAATAGTAATAGTATGTCAATGTGTTTGCTTTTGATAAACTCCACTATATGTGTTTGTTTGGATCTGTTTGCTGCCGAAGTAATATATCTTTTTGCCGTACAACGTAATATCAGCTTTTCGCATCATATATCAATAGTGTTATTTTTTGACGTACAAAGTAATATTAGTTTTTATAATAGAGTTGGCGTGTTGTATCTTTTCCCCCTGTTGATGTGAATTTATTCGACCAATAGTGAGAACTTTAGGAAAAACAAATTCTTATTTGCAAATCAATATAAATCTTACTTAAAATGATGCGGAAGCTTGCCCAAGGACTTAATTCTTGCCTCAAACTATAGAAAAATGCACAAAGAACACAAAGAAAGCAGAGCCACAAAAACTTTAACCGAAAGGGATGGAAAGATAGAAAAGGAGAAAGTTTTCGATTTGTAATCGTCTTAATGCTTATGACGAAAATGATTTGATAATGCTCTACAAAATGATAAACAAAGCTCCACTATTCGAGAAACACACAACTCAAAAGAACTCTTGTTACTAATGCAAAATCCTAATCTTGCACAAGCCATAATACCCTCAAAAAGCTAAAGAAACAAGGAGATTCATCTCAAGTTTGTATTGAACACATTCAAAAAAAAGTATCTCCAAAATGTTGGCCGAACGATCCCTATTTATAGTAGAGGGTTAGTCGAATTCTACTAAGAAGTAGGAGAAGAATTTGATCTCTAATTCTATTCCTGTTTAAAAGAATTAGAAGTCAAATTAACCTCTGACAACTGTGTCTTATCTATTAAGGCAATGTATCTAGACACCTTTATAGACTCAAGACACATTAGTCTAATGAAAATAAAACTCCTAATACAAAGAGATATTCTCTCAAAAGAATCTTATCCTTATTCTGAAAAGAATCTTCCTGAGTTGTCAACTCTATTAATATCTTCTTTGTAGAGTAATCATAGTCATCCAATCTTGATGTAGCTTTCATCCAACGGTTAAGAGTACACATCAAGGAATAGACTTCTTATTGTGAAGAAACTCAAAAACAGATAAAAGAGAATCAATTCAAATCTTATCCTTCCATAATTGTGATAATAGTTAAATGATCTGATCTCTAAAAGATAAGAAATATTCCAAATCTTATATTTTCCACAAATGTGATAAGATTTAAATAATCTTATCCCTAAAAGATAGAGATTTCAACTCCTAAAAATTAGGAGATGAGATCGGGTGGCCCTATCTTGTAGTGTAGGCCGAAATATTCTTCTCCAACGGGGCCAATTCTATTTATTGATAGCACATTAATAAACTTGGGCTTGTAGTTTTGAAGTCTGTCACTTTTCTTGCCCCAAATATTTGTTATGAGATTATTAACTGAAGTCTGCATTTTCTTGGATCTTGAACGAGTCATTGGACTTCTCAAAATCGATAATGGATCTTGAGCATGAACTTTGACTGGGCCTTCTTGGATTTCCACATCACTTGGTCTTCTTCATTGCTCAAATGGTCTTCTTGATTGGATGATAGTGGAAGATTTATACAAGGATTTTGGATTGGGAGAGATGTTAAAGTATTTAAAATCATTAGTTTAAAAGTCTTTTTTCATACATTGCAACAAGTGACATGGACCACAACAAAAAACGACAAGCAAGAGCAGAACACCTTACTCTGGCCGAGAAGACTACAAGACTGCTTTAGAGGCAAGCCAAAATGCAAGCGAAAAATCCCGACACTCCTCCTCAAAATCAATGTGCTACAAACATATATAGTTGTTATGAAAAGAAAATACGTCAGAAAAACCCCTCTAGGCCACATCGAAACAGGTATTTGACAACCCAATGTCACAAGCATTTCCAGCGAAACTCAAACCTCCAACAGGCCAACTGAACCGGGTCAATAAGACACGAACAATGATCCTACCACCAAAGGTACAATCCCCATAATCTAATCATAATTGTGTTATCATTTTCAGGTGATAAAAATTACTATTATAATTATTCGTGAAATTTTGACCTTAATTCATTATATTTTCAGGTAAAACGGATAAAACAACGATTGTCAAATTTCATCATCAAATACACGTTTGTCAGATAGTGAGAGCCACTTAAAATAGTCGTCCAACACCCCGATTCTAACCTCCTACATATCAATTAACCACCCGTTACTTTATTTGAATTTCTCCACATGTCACTCAATCAACGTACCTATGGCTGACGGAGAAGCAACAATACATCGACGACGTGGACGCCCAAAGGATTCAAAGAACAAGAAACAACCATGTGTTAGCAAAGGAAGCAAAGAACAAGAAGCACCAACTGCGAAACCGGCCCGAGGTCCCGGACACCCAAAGGGTTCGAAAAGTACCAACATCTTACCGAAGAAGCATCCCGCTGATGTGATCCCAACTGAACCACTTCAGTTGCCGGACGCACCCAGCTGCAAGCATTGCGGTGCCCACAAGTTCTACAAGGAACCGAACGATTTCTGCTGCGGCGGAGAAGAGATCACACTAGCGCAGTCCAAAATGCCAGAGGACCTGATCAAACTATTCACCGGCCACCTACACGAGCGAGGACAGGACCCAAAACGAGAAGTACCAGGTAGGTTACAGAGATTTCCTCAACTCGCTCAATCCGAAAGACTTCCCTCCTCATAAGCTCGTACTGAAGTACAACAGCCCTATAATGCTCCCACGCAAGCTGAACACAAACGAAGGACTCTCGAACTGGACTCGGTTGTTGTGCAAGAAACTGGGCAGACACATGATCAAGGTCGAGATTGCTTTCGGACTGCATACCAGCAAAACAGTGTTCATCCTCAGGATACCACTTAAATGCGACGACATCGGTGTACATGGAATCACCTTCAACAGGTTCTAGTTTCTTGTCAAGCTCTACTTCTCACGGATAACTCTACGTCGCCCTTTTCCGAGCGAAGACATCCACGGCGGTGAAAGTCCTGGCCATGCCACGTACGTTAGACGAGGTCTTAGAGAACGACAACAGAACTTGGAACGTCCCGCCCCGTCGCATAATTAATATCTTATACTCTTACTCCTCTCTGTTATTTAAAATTTATACATTCAAATCGCTTATTTAATATATTTGTTTATTATAATCAAAAATATTTATTACAATTATTTATTATTTTAATTGTGGATTATGAGTTGGTCGTGTACGCGACTGCCAAGGACTAGTACGATACAAATTTGACCTAAATATTAATTTGCGTTTTATAGTTATTATTAGGAAGGATTAGATTAGAAGAAGCAATGCTAAATAAAATTATAGTAGGAAAAAAGGAAAAAAGAAAAAAAAAGGAACGGAGAAGTCAACAAATAAACGTCGCCCCTCAAAAAGAAAAAAGAAAAAAAAGAAACAGTCTCTCTCTCTAGATATTTTTTTTTGGGAGAACGTTTTCTCTCTCTAGATTTGAGCGTAGGGATAAGGTAAAATGGGGTTTTCACATTCCACAATTCTTTCTCTCTCTTTCTCCCGTCTCTCGTCAAAATCTCGGTTCTTCTTTTGATGTACATTAGAGAGCACCACAAAGTTTCTTCTTCTTAACCTTCCACCGCCGCCGACGACGACGAACGTTCGTCCTCCCCTCCGACCGTTTCGCCGGGCGGTGAAGGTGAGAGAAGAAGATTCTTTGAATATATATATATATATATTTTATTTTTCGAATTTCCTCAATTCTTTTCCTTTTCCTTTGTTTTTTTTTTTCCCTTTTAGATATCAAATTTAAAACGTAGGATTATTCCTCCTTTTTATTGTTTTTATTTTTGGTGTACCTTCTAGAGGAAGAGGGGTTTCTCTAGATATGGATGCGATTTCTTCGTCAACGCAATTGGTGGTGTCGGCTGGGGCGGCAGCTGATGTAGCCGAGGGGGCACAAAACGGTGTCGTGATGGGTAAAGATAAGGAGGCGGCGGCGGCGGCGGTGGCTGCAGCCACCGCTCCGCTTCCTGCTTACCTGTCAATGGTAGATCCTTTTTTGGTGGAGGCGCTTCAGAATCCTCGTCATCGGCTCACAAGTAAGTTGCTGGACATGGTTTTTCTGGAATTTAGGGTTATCAATTGGGAATTTTGAACGATGTTCTGTTGATATGACTGTGGATTTGCTTGATATTGGTTAATTTCTGTGTTGAATTTGTGATTTGAATCGATTTGTGATTGCATGTTGAACAAATCATGGTGGCTTGTTTTTGGTTTAAGTGTAGCTGATATGGTTATGTTTGTGTTTGCAAATTAGATAAAATCTGGTGTGGCTTCATACTTTTATAGATCTGATGGTTGATTATTCTTAGCGTTTTTACTCTGTTGGCGCCTAATGGAGAATTTTAGGGTACCATAGTGTCTCCGAGCAGCTTAAGCTTTCATGTGGATCTTCATTTCTTTTCTTTCTTAGCTAACACAATTTGATTAGATGTGGATTCTCCTTGCTTTCCCATTCTTTGAGTTACTTAACATGCTCTTTTGAGTTCTTTCAAATTGTTGATTCCCGGTATATATAACTTCTGTATGAGATGGACTTCTGTTGGTTGTAGACAAGGTCGTTGGCGCTAGTTGCCTGTACGAATTTGTTATACTGTGTTAGTATTACTAATTTTTAGAAATTGTCCTATAAGTGCATGGTCTGGACTCTGGTTCTAGGAAAACCAATGTTCTTATATCATTCCTCTGAAATCTTTCTCGGTTTAATAAATTTGGCTTTTAAGGTTATCTTATAGAAATGGGTTGTAGAAATTTCTAAAACTCCGATGTAAAATATCGAATTCATACACTGAATTTTATTTTTAAAATTAAGTTTTGCTTGATGTTGATGTTGGGCTGTTGAAGTTGATGTTGATGTTGAATTAAGTTTTGCTTGAAATTTTACCTATCTGAATGGAAGTCTGCAAAATGATGTTACCCATAACAGATGGACTATCTTGTTTGTTATATTATAATGCATATTTTCCATATCGTGTGAAGTTATCCTGAAAGCGCAATGCTTTGTGTTATCTCACTCAAGTTTTCTTAAGTCGCATGAGCACATACTAATACTGCAACTTTTTGGGAGTAAATTAATATTCCAGATGTGTTGCTAGTGGGGGCAGATCTTGTTTCTTGTTTAGAATGAGTTATGCTTAATCATTCTTTTTTCTTTGTTTTACTCCAGTTCTGCGGATGGAACTCGACATACAGAAGTTCATGCAGAACTCTGATTTGCAGCAATTTGAGTTTCCGCATTTTCCAACTTCTTACCTTCGTCTGGCAGCACATAGAGTTGCTCAGCACTATGGTCTGCAGACCATGGTAAAGGATAATGCAGTTGATGGAATGGGAATTCGGATTGTAGCCCGAAAACAAGCTGCAAGCAAGATTCCTACTGTCTGTTTATCTGATGTACCAGCTAAACAACTTGAGAATGACAAAAATGAACAAGTTAAAATTGTGATTAGGTCTAGGCCCAACAGAGCATCCTCAGATGAGACTGGTGAATCAGGTTTAAAACGTAATTCTGTGAGAACGGTCGAAGAAAGGAAGGAAGAGTATGACAGGGCACGTGCTCGCATTTTTAGTGGTCCTGGGGGTTCGGAATCTACACCTCAGGTGCCTCCCAGTGGTAAGAGTACATGTTCGAGCTCGGAGGACAATGAAACTTTGAAGAACTCCATCTTGGATTTAGACAGGAACTATGGTAGTGTGGAGAACAGTGCAACCTCCAGGGTAGCCATTTTAAGGGACCGGGAGAAGGATAGAACAGATCCAGATTATGATCGAAGTTATGTAAGGTACGTGTTGAGAAATTTGAAAACTGAAATATTATTGTGATGGACCTGATGGTTCTGCTGCATGCTTTATCATGTCTATTTCACGTCTGCTAGAGTAAACATTTGAATATTTATTATGCAACTTGTGATATTTCAGTAAATGTCTATTCATGTAGAAGTCATTCTAAATTGATTTTGCAACTCCTTCTTTGTCTTATATATATCTGAATGTTGTTGCCATTCAATGGCATTGCACTTTTAAATCTAATTTCACATATGCCTGTTATCTCCACTCATTCGTTGCTTATTTCTAATTATTCTAGTTGTCGAATCTTAACTTGGGAGGAACTGTGTAGGTGTTGGTTCGAATTGACAAACCTTACATGTTCTAGTATAATTAAGGTGCTTTCCTGCGAGTGCAAGCTGAATAATATTATCTATTGATCCTAAACTGATGTAGGTATGTCAAGTATGCACCTAGCAATCAAGTCTTCAACGTGGCCCCTTATGTGCAAAAGTTCCAGCATCCATATGTGCAATATGATGCTGTTTTGCCTCAGTTAGGTCAGATGCCTGGCACACAAGCTTCCCTAAACTACAGGAGCCCAGTGATGAATCCTTACTGTGCTGTTGGATTAAATCAAGCATCGAGGGATGCAGTATACATGCAATGGCCCACTCAGTCTATGATGTATGCACAATCATATGGTCAACTTAGACATGCTGTTTTTCAGGTATACATGCCGTTCTTCTATGATCTTTGACTTTTTTGTAAAAAAAAATATGATTGTCTTGAATAAGACTGTACGGAATTTCAAAAATCACTTCTAGATTTGAATTTATGAGGTTTGGCTATAATCTGTGCTGTATTAGTTTTTTCCCATTCATATTTATCCCTTCAAATTCACTTCTTACAGTGCCCTTTTTTCCCATGGTAATGCCATCTAAACCAAAGAGAATAGGTTCTAGGTTAGATTGCTGATTGAGATGAGCTGCCTGCTTAATAAGCAACATATGTTTGGACAGGGCTGTTTTGACTACAATAGAATGAATTTGAAATTCAGAGTCACCCATTATGGCAACATCTCCTTGTTTAGTCTTTGATCTGCCTATGAGATTGATTTTATTTATTTTGTATGTCATTAGTTTCAGTAAATGATGCTATGAGTTCTTTCCTTATTTCTTATTCAATACAGCAGGTTGATAATTTAAGTTAAACGATTTTCTTCTTGGTTATGTATCTGTCAGAGGCTTTATTCTGAATAAAGATTTGGTTAAGTCACACTGATTGGCTGGTTAAATGTTAATTGGTACTATATTTTGTTGTGAGGGCTCAAGCAAAATCACCCAAAGACGGGGGTGTGTTGGGGGTTGTTGGTTTGGGGCTGACAATACTATCTTAGAGCTAGGAAGGCATCTTAGCAACTAGCCGTACCCACAGATAATTATTGCATTGTGTTGACAGAATGTTTTAACATGATATATTTTGAGTTTCATTTCTCTGGACATCTGACTTGTAACTTCCTCTTTTTTCCTCGATTTCTTGCAGGCTCCATATTGCCAGCAGCCTTTGAGTTTTGATTACTCCCAGAATTATTCATAGTAGAAAACTTTTAGATGGGATTTTCTTAATTTACTCATTTCTTAGGTTGAGTAAGACTGCAAACTTTGTATTTGGAATGAGAACTCTTCTTTGTTGTTGTCGAACACTAGTGCAAGGATCTTAAAATATTGTAGAAGTTACTTTGGTATATGTTACTTTGGTATATGTTGTTTGTAGTAGAAGCAGATAAGACTTTATCCCTTTGCTATTAAACTTCTTAATATTTATCATCTTGGGTATAAAATTTGATTAATATTGTATCAAAAAATTTCACTTATGACATAGGTGGTGTGATCTAGCTAGTTTCACTTATGAGATAGAAGAAATTCGAGAGAAGGTAAGTCTTCTAATATAGCACCTGATTATTGTATCATTTGGAACTGCTTGGTAGGGATTTGCTCCCTTTACATTTTGTTATGCGTTGGTTCGAGTAGCTTTTCGTTTTTACTACTTGAATATAAAGAAAAAGAATAGAAAATTCCTGATGATACGAAGAAGATTCTGTTGGGAGGTCTTTCTTTACATACCGGTAATTAGGTTTTCAATGAAGCAAACAAACTTGGCCTAAAATTTGTTTTATCGGGTTTGCTGCATTGCATGAGACGTGAACACAAGTGAAGGTTTGGGAGAGACCACCATATGAATTGAGGAATGATGGTTCCAAGAAGATAAATACTAAACAAACTTGTGATTGAGAATTAACTATCCTCTCTTAAAAAATGAAGGTTCAATTTGTATTTCGACTTTAATACACTTTGTAGTAAAATAAATAATCAGACTAGATATATACTTCGAAAGGAGAGAGTAATAAAATATTTTTATTTTATTTTATTTATTTTTTTCATTTTTGTAGGGTGTTCACCGTCATCAACAGAAATCCCTCTCGCTGAATTGTAGACACTTCAATGAGTAGAGTAATAAGATCTTAAAGTCTTATGAGTTAATATATAGTTCGTCGAAATTCTTGGTCACTAACCCACTGAGAGGTTAGGACTCAGTTCTCGTATTTGCTTGTAGCCCAAACTGAGCAGACTTATTTGAACAATAGCAGCCCAAATAGAAAAAATCTAGTCCACGTGATCAATGCAAATAGCATCGCCTACTTCTCCTACGCACTTATGAAAATTAAAATAAAATGTCAGATATTGATCGGAAAAAGAATAAAAGGAAAAGTGAAGGGCTTGCCGGAGGTGGAAAGGCAGCGGCCGGAGTCAGAATTCAGAGGGTAATGGAAGAACGGAGAAAGCAAGAAGAAGGAAGTTCTAGAAGGTGCAAGGAAAAGTGATAACCGCCAATTAGAAAAAGTTATTATTTTCCATAATGATCATTACACAATGATTATAGCCATTTAATAGCCAAATCTACCCAGAATAGCAATATGACAAAAATGAAAATACAATCATTATGCTAATTATTATTGTCGGCTAGCTAATTGTAAAACAACCCCTCTTATTTTCTCTTTATCCAAAATCAGTCCCTGAATCGTGACAATACTCCCTCCATAAGCAAGACCTTGTCCTCAAGGTTGAAATGTGAGAAATTGGCTGAGAATAAAAGACTGATCTTCCTATGATGAATCCTCCATATCAAAGTCCTTCCACTTGATCAACCACTGATTCATAGCTAAACCATTTCTCATGATAAAACGGCGCTGTAGTACTTCCTCAGGCTGTAATGCGTTTCCCTCAATGACTTCTGGCTCAGGCAATGTTGAGATGGAGGCTGGTTGAGCTCCAACATGCCTTTTCAGCTGAGAAACATTGAACACCGGATGAATACAGACTGTAGAAGGAAACCCGAGTTATAAGCAACTTCCCCAATCTTCTCCTTGACTTGAAAAGGACCATAATATCTTGATGACAGCTTCAAATAAGATCTGATGGCTACTGTTGTCTGCTTGTATGGTTGAAGCTTGAGATAAACCCAATCATCCACACCAAACTCACGTTCAGAACGATGTTGATCTGCAAAATGCTTCATCCTGTTTTGTGCCTTGATCATGTTTTCTTGCAGCAACTTGATGATGGATGCTCTAGTCTGAACTTCATAGGGAGCAGCAGGAATCACACTATCAGAAAATGGTCTAAAGGGAAAAAAGCTGAGGTTTCTCTCCATATAAAGCCTCAAAGGGGGTCATTTTAATGGCTGATTGATATGAAGTATTGTACCACCATTCTGTCAATGACATCCATTTGTTCCAAGATAGTGGCTTATCACAGCAAAAACATCTAAGGTATGCTTCCAAACATAGGTTTACCCTTTCAATCTGTCCATCAGTCTGTGGATGGTATGTTGTACTCAATTTGATCTTTACACCCAACAACTTAAACAGTTCTTGCCAAAAATAGCTAGTGAATATCCTGTCTCTATCTGAGATGATATCATTAGGCAAACTATGGAGTCTAAATATTTCTTTAAGGAAAACATCAACTACTCTGCAAGCAGTGACAGGAGGCTCCAATGGAATGAAATGACCAAATTTGGTCAGACTGTCAACAACTACCAGGATAGTATCAAACTTCTCAGAAGGTGAAAGCTTGGCAATGAAGTCCATTGATATGCTTTTCCAAGCATGTTGAGGAACTGGATTTGGCTGTAGTAGACCTGGATACTTCACATGTTCTCCTTTATTTCTCTGACAGACCACGCACTGAGAAACAATTTTTTTCACATCATCCTCATCCCTGGCCAAAAGAAGGTTGACCTCAACCTTTGCAAAATCACATTCTGACCAGAATGGCCTCCTAATGGTTATGAATGCATTGCTTCCAAAATAGACATCTTCAACTCGGGCTGATTTCCAATGTAAATTCTTCATTTTTTTTTTTCTCAAAATGCCATTAAAATACTAATACTCAGAGTGGGAAGAAGGATCAATAGTCACACTGACAATGAGATCCAAAACCACAGAATCATGTTGGTAACTGGCCACCACAACACTGATCCATTGTGAGAATACTGATGTTAAAGAAAAATAGTGATTGTCAGCTGAATTATCAACCTGTTCCACCCTAGACAATGCATCATCAGCTTTATTATCCTTCCCCTTTTCTATATTGTATCTCATAGTCATAGCCTAATAGATTGGTAAGCCATTTGTGCTGATTGGAATGAATGACCTTCTGTTCCAACAGGTATCTCAAAGACTGATGATCAGTCCTGATGATGAACTTATTTCCCAAGAGATAATGCCGCCACTTTGTTACAGCCAAAACTAATGCCATCAGTTCCTTGTCATAAACAGAAAGTCCTTTATATTGCTGGTTGTAAGCTTTACTCAAATAGGCCAAGGGTTGACCATTTTGCATTAACACTGCCCCCATTCCAACATCACTAGCATCTGTTTCAACTATAAATGGTTGAGAGAAATCATGCATCTTCAATACAGAGGCCTTAGTCATCACACTCTTCAACTTCTGGAATGAACTATGTGCTTCCTGATCCCAAACAAAAGAGTTTTTCTTCAAAAGCTTGGTCAGTGGTTTGCAAATTATACCATATCCCTTTATAAATCTCTTGTAGTAACCAGTAAGACCCAAGAATCCTCTTAAAACTTTAACATTGGTAGGAACATTTCATAATGCTAGAAATTTTCTGTGGATCCATGCTTACACCCTGACCAGAAATAATATGCCCTAGATACTCAATTGATGCTTGTGCAAAACTGCATTTGCTCTTCTTGGCATATATCTGATGTTGTTTGAGAACTTTCAATACTTCTTCAAAATGCAGTTAATGCAATTCCATAGAAGGGCTGTAAATCAATATGTCATCAAAAAACACAAGCACAAATTTCCTGAGTTGAGATTGAAGAACCTGATTCATCAAGGACTGAAAGGTTGCCGGTGCATTGGTTAATCCAAAAGGCATCACCAGGAATTCATTGTGTCCATGGTGGGTCAAAAGCAGTTTTCTGAACATCCTCTTTGTTGTAATATCTGATGATAACCAGCCCTCAAATCCAATTATGAGAAAACAGTTGCTCCTTGCAATTCATATAATAATTCTTCAATGATTGGAATGGGAAAATTATCCTTCACATTCATATCATTAAGTTTCATGTATTCTACACACATACTCCAAGTTCCATCTTTCTTTTTTACCAATATTACAGCGGAAGCATAAGGGCTCTTGCTAGGTTGTGCAATGCCTTGTTTAAGCAGCTCTTCTACCTGTTTCTCTATCTCAGTTTTATAGGCATAAGGACACCTATAAGGAAGCATCTTGAAGGGTTGAGATCCAGGTTTCAGCAGGATTCGGTGATCCACAATCTACTTGGAGGCAGAGAACTAGGGCTATCAAACACTTCACGGTACTGATCTAATAATTTGCAGATGGCCTCAGGCAGAGGATACTCTACTACTGACATCTTCTCGCTGTTCAGAGCCTACTACTGACATCTCCTCACTGTTCAGGCAAAGGATACTCTACTACTGACGTCTCCTCGTTGTTCAGAGCCTGCAGTTGCATTGTCATTGTCTGCACCTCTTTTCTTGAGTTAGAATCTGCCAATCCTTGTCTCTTACTAGTTGAAGACTATCAATATTGCTTGTACCATGAAGAATGCACTATCTACCATACTTGCTGAGCCTTACATGCATATCATCATAGTCAAATGTAATAGGACTGTAGTGCTTCATCCAATCTACTCCCAACACTAAGTCATATCCACCCAACCTCATAATCTTCAATCATAGTTAAACTTGTAATCCTTTATCTGCCAGTGCAAGTTTGGGCATGTCAAGTTTTCAGTTACTTTATTACCATTTCCCACAGTGATAGTGAATGGATTGGATTCCTTATGTGGCAGTTTAAGATCCCTTACCAATAATAGATCAACAAAGCTGTCAGTGCTTCCAGTATCTATGAGTATTTTGATGATCCTTCCTCCTATCTTTCCCAACAACAAAATTGTTTGCTTAACACAGTCAACTGAAAGAACATGCATATATCCTTCTTCTATAGTAAGATCATTCAGGTCAATTCCTTCATCCAAAAGCAATTCAGGGGCATTAATCTCAACACTTTCTAATTCCTCTTCCTCATCATTAACAATCATAATGTTGAACTGTCTGTATTTATATACATGTCCTGGACCAAACTTCTCTCCAGACTTAAAGCACAAGTGATTATTAGCCCTATATTGATACTCCTTATTTAATTTGTTACAAAATTTGGATTAATGGCCTTATTGTTCCTGTTAATAGGTCTAGCATTCTCAGAAGCTCTACTAGAAGAGGAATAGAGTCGATTCACCTGGTAAGGAGGAGGCCTTTGCTTTTTGGTGGTGATTTCCAGCTGCTTCTCTTGCAATCCAACAATCTTGAAAGCTGAAATTAGAGATAATGGCTCTATCATCCTGACACCAGGTTGTAATCTTC